ACAGAGAAACTTTCACTCTCTCCTAGAACTCATAGTTAGGACAAAGCAGACATATGGGATTTACGCTCACTCTCTAATAAAAGCAAGCTACTAGTAGCCCACTCAATTAAAAATATCGAAAAGCTGATTCTAAGAGCTTCAATAGACATTATCTAAGTTCTCAAACCAAAATCCGTATCTATGTCAGTTTTATTCAAGAATACTTTTAGCCTGTTCTTTAGGTACAGTGCATCTATATTGCGTTTTTCCGTCTTCTGAAATTTTTTCCATTTTTTGTATTTTTAAAGGTCAACTTACTAAACATTTTAACTCGCAATTCATCCTGCTTAATTTGAAATTCACTTTCTTTATCGCATCCATCCGCTTTCATAAAGTCTTTCTCGGCAATGCATGTTTTAGTAACGTGTTCAATCCATAAGTCAAAGGAATCTTTAATTTATATACAGCTTTTTTATCATTGAAATTAGAGTGAGGTAACCCAAAGGGTCCTCAGAACATAAATTCATTTAGAATAAGCTCTAAAAATAGCTAGAAACCATGTAGAAAGCGAACAACTGCTCCTAGGGAGCAGGACCCTAGTTAGGTTAGTGACCATCGGACGATCGAGATTTGAGATCGATATCCCTATTATCATTTTAAAAATTCCGGAACTTATTACAGATCTCACTACTGTATGATCTCACACCAAATACACTCAATTATCAATGCCCTCTATCTAAGACACATCTCATTATAAGGTTGGTTTTTCAGCTCCAAGGGGTGTCTATTAATGTGGTTCACATGTTCTCATATTTAATAAATCTATTAATAATCCCACACACTTTTTTCTTCAGTCGCCAATTTAGGATGCTCCAAATGTGGCAAAAACATATTACAATAATCATGCATTAAATAATCTTTAAAATTTTTTTTTAATTTCTAAATATTTTCCAAACGATTTTCATATTCCTCCTTCGCTTGCCGATGCTTTGCCTGTTCCTGGTGACTTTTCATTTTTCCAAAATTACTTTCAACAAGATCGTTATCTTGTTTAGCATCTTCAGGAGTGAATTGACTTAGGCCAACGTTCTGGGTGTCGCCAAAACCTTTGTTGGCAAATGTTTCGGGGTTTCGATTTTGCTTAGCATCTTCTGGGATGAATTGACTTAAGTTAAGTTTCTGGGTGTTGCCAGACTTTGTGTTGGCGAATGTTTCAAAGGATTTTATTTTAGTGAATAATAGAGGTAAAAGGAGTAAAATTAAAATTATTTTAAGGGAAGACATTTTGAGAGATTTTCTAAATTAAATTTAAAAAATCATGATTGAGGTGGTAAATGGGTTTATCAAGAGGGATTTTAAGCGATATATCTCCCGAAAATAGACCTCGCAAAATTTTATTATGAAAATTACTCCAGTAATCGGGATAACAAATTTCCTGTTTAATATATTGGACTTTCCATGTAACGTTATCACTTGAGGGAAGTGATGTTGAAGGGTCGACGTTAGCAAAGCCAACTTGCCAACTTACCGAAGCACGATCTCGTCTGAGATCAAGAAGGTTATGGAGGGATGAGTTAAGGATACGAAATCGAAGGTGGGATACTAGAGGAAAAGGATGAGCTTTCAAGCTCTCTCGTTTGAAAGAGAACTATGAGAGACGGACATGGGAGAGATGGAGGAGTGGGAGAGAAACTAGATAAATATTTTCTTTTTTTTTTTTAATTTTAACAATTTTTAGAATTAAAATAAACCCAGACTAATTAAAATCAACTAAAATTACTTTTTTTAAATAAACACAAAATTCAAAGTCATTAAATATTCATTTTTTTTTATTAAGAAGTATCCTCTAGAATTTATTTAAAAAATTCCCTTTTTTGTACTTTTAAGGACTTTAAAAAATTTCCATTTTTTCTTTTAAAATTTAAATTAAATAAAGTACTTCTTTGAATTAATTTTTTAAATTAAAAAATAAAATTCAGACAAAATTATAATTTAAAAAATTTTATTCTAAAAATAACAGGTAATCTGAAAAATAACTTCTTCTTTTTGGCCGATGTTTGTGTTACATAATTTTCAAATACCTGTTTTATTTTTGTGTTAAAAATTTTTGGAAATATTAAAAAATTTATAACTTGTGGACACTTTCTAATACGTACTTCCTTACAAGTCACTTTAGTCACTCCCTTATAAGCAGTGATTTCAAAGTTCTAGTTCCAGTTCCGGAACTAATTAGTTCTAGTTCCAGTTCCAGAACTAGAACTACGGAACTAACGATTATCTGGAACTAGACCGGAAATAGAACTACGGAACTATTAAACGCATGGAACTATCTTGGAACTGGAACTACGGAACTAGTGAACTGGAACTAAGGAACCTCTGTAATCTATTTCGGTTTTGGAAAATCTTTTTTGAATTTCTTCGGTTCCAGCTCCGGTTCTGGAAAATTCCTAATTTTAACGTTTCAGTTCGGAACTGGAACCTTTCCGTACTGCTTGAGATCATACTTTAGCTCAATTTTGGCTCTAAGAAGTGACTTTCTAGAGAGATTAAAGTCATAAGTAAAATGAGTGTTTCACCTATACTTTGACCAATATCTCAGCTAATTTAGTTCAAAGGGAGTGACGCTTAAGAGAGATTACAGTTAAAAATATAGTAGATGCTCTCTAATACGTCACTCCCCTGCACCTCGTCTAAATCGCTAAATGTTGGCTCTAAGGAATGACGTATTATAGAGGTTGTTAGCTTATCCTTAGAAGAACCATTCTCCCGGTCAACAAAATGATTTTAACATCTCATTAGATTTTTCGGGTTTAATCCAGTCCTGCCCTCTTTCAATTTTGATAATTAATTTTTGCAGGTGTCACAATAATATGTATTCCAACTTGTATCACAGCTTTGTTATTATCACATGCTATACATGCATTATTTACTTTGGTAAAAGGAAAACGAATTCCAAAACATTTATAAAAAGCTGTTCCATAAAGACTACTAAAATTATACTTATTTATTCTAAAAATTGTTTAATTAAAATTGGATCTCAATTGAAAGACCCCCTCCTAAGGATAAATACTTGAGTGGGGAAAAATCAATGTCAATGGATCAAGTAACTTGATTAAATGTCAAAATGTCGGCCGGGAGAATCCCTGGAAGTAAATGCCCTTCAAACCCGGGATTCCGGACGGGATCACGTAAAATCCCGTATGGATATGAGGATTTGAAAGATATCGGTCGAGAGACTTAGGAATATTACGAGCCTGAATCGACCTTTCACGTAAATAAAACTGAGGTCAGACTGTTTTATAATTTACCTCATCTTATAAAGCAAAGGAGCATAGCAAGCTAGTACAGGGACAAGTATACATCCAGCTATTTGGAATATATACCAGGTTTGTAATTGCGAAACTTGAAGCCAAGATACAATATTTCGAGTTAAAGTATTGATAAACCATCCAGAAAATTCTAGAAAGAAGACTGCCAAAATAGATTTGGTCATTCTTTTAGAAGAATTATTTGTGGAGGTAACTACAAAATAAAAATACAGAAAAATGGGGACTATCGCGTAAGAACATCCAGCTATTTGCACAAGGGGATTTTGAAAGATATCGAGAGATTTGGGAAAGTCCCATGGAAGTAAACGTGGGATTATAGAGTAGAGGTCCAATTATTATCCAGCTTGTTATATCTACTAGATACCCCAGCAATCCTAATCTCACCAACAAGATAACAAATTAATCCTGGATTTGTGAATTATGAACTAGAGGTCCAATTATAAGTAAGAAACAAGTACCGTATTCTCTATAATAGAGTCATAGAGCTATATTAGGATGGTCTGTTCGCAGCCAAACCGAACAGAAGGAACGAGGGTTCTCGATTCATCGAGCTAAAGAGGTTGATCCAAAATTGATAAGGGCCAGAAAGTAGCCAGCTAGTTATGCTGGAAAACGTGTACCCCTCTAATTCAGTGGCATTAATAAATAAAATACGGTAGTTTATTACCTTTTTTGTTCATTGCAATCCACAGGATTATGCTAAGCACGAGAGAAACAAAACTAAAATAAACGGCAACTTGAAAAACAAAAGGGGGAACAGCATCAGGAGTTGAACAAGTTACCAACTTTTTAGGAGAAACATTTAAACACAAATCTATTCCAGTATATACAGTAAATAAAGCATAAATTGAAATTGAAGAAAAAATAAAAATTAAATACAAATAGTATCCCTTTGAAGAGTTCTGAATGTATTTCATGTGCCTAAAATTAGGAATTATAATGGGTAATCGGCATTTGACTTTCTCGTGTATTTGTAGAATTAGCTTGGAACATTAATATAAACTCACCAGCAAATATCCTCAGAGGATTTAAAGGGATATCTTAGGATTTTTGTCAGTTATCTTAGGGTATTTATAGGGATATCAGAAGATTTAAGCAATATAGGCCAAATTTGGAGAAATATTTATGGATCAAGTGGTCTGGATAAGGAGGGATTCAAGTGAATTCAGAGAAGTTGATCCAGGAAATCCAGGAAATTTCGAAAAATAATGTGAGGAGTCGGAGAGTTATCGGGGAGATTTAGAGGGATATCAGAGGATTTTGAGGGATATCATAGGAATTTCGTTGAATATCTAGAGTCAAGGATTTCGAAGCAAGGAAGGATTGAAGGAATTTCAAAGGTCTTTCAAAAACAATGAATTGTTTTGATACACAATAGAAGCTGTGATTATCTGTTCGAATCCAAATCGAACAGAAAAATGAGATTTCGGTTCGGTTTCGTATATCCAAAAAATTTCTAAGGACCGAGAGACATAAGTTAAGCTAAAATATTACCATAAAGGAAATATGGCAACAATAATTCTATCAATCGAAAGAGCCAGATAAAGCAAATATTGTGACTGAACAAAAAATATCGGTAAAATCATAAGGAAATAACAATTTTTTAGATAAATTAAATTAGTTCCAGTTACAGCAATTCCAAATTGAATTGAAAATGTAAATAGATTATAATTTTTATTAGTTTGAAGGCCGGTCAACCGAACCGGGACTGAAGACAAGTGTCAAGAGCGTGTCCATATTATCCAAAAACCGGGCTGTCAATCAAACCAAAAACCGAGGGTCCAGGCCAAAACCAAGGCCAATGACCATCCTCAAAGCCCTTTAATTTTAAATTACCTCATCTATGGCAGAACTATTTGTATTGCTCATCTTCGGATTAATTTTATTTGTTTCAAACTTTGAGTAAATTTAAAGTCTAAAATGATAAAGTCAGACCTCGTAAAAAAATTTAAAAGCTTTAAAGGCTATCAGCATTCTTTATTGCTTAGTTTGCTGTCAATATGGTTGGCGGATCCGGATCCTCAAGTTCAAGGGGTTACTCCATGAGAGATTGTGGTCTGAAATGGAGATGAGGCTGGAGATAGAGTCAGACATCGTACACGAACGATAAATTAAATACGGTCTAAAAGCCTTCACTGGAAAGTATAACTCCGAGGGGGTAGCATCGAATAGATAGGCTCTCTATAATATAGCCTCTAGATAGCCTTGAGATAGCCTCGGCTCAGCCGGAAATTGATCCGAAGCTCAATTTTCGTAAATGCCAGGAATCGGAACCTTTTGGGCCTTAAATTTTCAAAAGTTTTCTACAGTACTTAGCATCTAAGGCAATAAGCAATTTTTCATGATAAATAAGACTCAACAGCAATAAAACTAGCAAAAAAACTGTTCTATGAAATTGAAAAATTTTTTTAAGAATTAAAACAATAATTAAATAAGGCGTGGAATAATGTGGAAAATTTCTAGATGTGTTAAATTGTTCTTTCATTTTATAAAAATTTAAATTAAATTTAATAATTTAACGCTTTCTTCCTGTCTGTTTAATATAATTTAATAATTATTTTGAGACCAAAGTTTGGCTTAATTAAATTTTTTAAAATTTAAGTTGAAAGAATTAAACGTCAATTTATTTAATAGAAATATCAAAGTTTCAAATTAATGACCGGAAAATTCAAGAGAAAATCAAGAAATCATAGAGAAATCCTTAAAAAATCAAGAGAAATCTTTAAAATCCTCCCTTCATTTAGGCTGTATTTGATTTTGAACAGGATGAACAGTTGTAGCTGCTTGAACCTTTATAACTATACTTGAGGTAGGGTATAATGACGGTATCTTTCGGAAGAACTTTACAATCCAAGCAAATTCTTTTTTCAGAGCATGCCGATATTCAGAGCTGTAATTTTAAGTAGTAAATACTGTACCAAGCAAAAATTTTAATTTACCTGCAAAAATACAAAACTGGGGCATTTATTGCACCCGAGATCGTTACAAGCTGAGCAAATAGACGAGTATAAAAAAATATCATTTCAGGATCATTTGTTATTAACGGAATAATAAATTGAGTACAAAACATTCCAGAAAAGTAGAAGAAAACTATAACAAATATTATTATTATAAGTGATCTGTATATCCGTTTGGTTTGAAGATGTTGAGTGTTTGATTCTCCGCTTTGATATACTTAAATATTAAATTGTGCCAATTTTATTAATTATAATAGTTAGTAGGATGTACTTGAATCCATAGAATTGGGGCTTATGGATTAAGAAAATTAACGGTTCGAATATCGGTCCGGATACAAGACAAGTTCCGATGATCAGTAGTCCCTTTAACCACTTGTATCCTATATTTTTGAATATTTCCTTTTTCCTGGAAAGGCGAGTTTCGCTTCAAAATTTCTCAAGATTAATCCATTCAGGGAATAGGTTGAAGACGTTGAAGTTCGATTATCCGAATATGGGAATCCAACCCTGGAAAAATTCGACCGGATCTGGTTTGGCGCTAAACACCAATATCAATCTACACATAATTTAGTTAAACATACATTTGATAATAATCCCAATAATAATATAATTAATTGAAGTAACCAAAGTAATAGAAATTGCCACATTATAAGCAAAACTAAGTATTTCCCCTCCAATTTGTTCTGGAGGGTTGCAATAAACTTTTCTATTGGGTAATTAAATTCAAAGATTTCCTGTCTAATAACATACATATCCGGATTATCAAGAGCATAGTTAAAACCAAAAATCATAAAAATAAAGCAATATGTCAGAGAAAATGTATTAAGAACCATTACATATTTAACGGCCCCTTTCTTTAGGACAAAGCGGTAACTGAAAATAATTTGTTAAATTCTTCAATTGTTATTTAAAAAATTTAATTGAGAAAGCAAGTTAGACACAAACTTGGGTATAATAATAGTTTATCCAAAATAGAAAGCCTCAATGTATGCAAAGTAGGATTGCAACTCGAACGCTCGGAGCGGTCATGCGGGATATAGGGGGGGGAGCAACGCTAATGCAAAGTTAGATTTAGGTGGGATCAGACGAAAGATTAGAAACGGCCTGATTAGTGTCGGTCAGAAATATGTCGGAACTCGTAACTTTCGAAAATCGGAAAATACATACTTAAAATCTCACGACCCGGAATGCCAAAAAATAGGGAATATTTCAGCAAATAACTTTAATTTAAAATTAGTAAGCAAAGTATTTAATTACTTACAAAATTGGAAAAAGTAGAGAAATAATACGATCTATGCTGATAAACAACATATTAAAGCTGGAATTTATCCCAGCGACTATAGTTTGCCAGCTGGTAGCATAAGAGCAATAGGTTATAGAGATTTTAGTGTGCATTATCACTAAAATTGTTGGCAGAATTGTTGCAGACTCGAGCATTGCGTCACATAGACAATTGATAGACAGAAGCAGTCCATAACTTGTTTGGAGATTTCTGGAATATGTTGTAGTTTTTATTTGATATGCTCGCCACTAGGAGCAGAGCCATGGTCGGTATTCCAGGCAAGGCAGCCCAAACTTCAGTATGTCAATAAGGAAGGCCCCGGCCTTCCTGAGTTTGAAAAAAGGACCGGATATAGGGTAGATTATATAATTAATCCAATCTAGAAAAATTTAAACTACTTGTGTTTGAAAGTCACCCATACGACTGTCAAATTAAGAATAATGCCAACAATGGAAATTAATTGTTGTATGAGTATTATTAAGAGTTCGTGATAATAATTTTCATTCATTTTGCTAGTAAAGAGTATATAGAAAATTTTTTTCATGTAATATGTATTGAGATGTGGATTCTGGAAGTGGATGGATCATGTGAGTTTTACCGGAGAGGGACATTTTGAAAAAGCTTAGAGCTGTGTTTGGAAGCTCGTTCCAAGATGTCTCCTACGTGTTTGTAATACTCCTACTTGTGTAGATGTACTAAAAGTTTAAATTTCCAAAGCTTTTTTTAAATTTCCAAAAAATCCGGGATTGCCAAAACTCATATGTAAAAAATTACTCATATGTAAAAGTTACCACTGTAAAAGTTATAGAAAAATTGCCCTCCAAAAATTATTTTTAGAAAATATTAATAAAAATTATGCTTTTAAATCTGTGAATGTACATAAAAGGAAAGAGTCAAATACAAAAAATATTAAAAAAACTGTAAAACTGAAAAGAAAATTTTGAAAATTAAAATAGTAATTAAATGAAAATAAGTTTCTAAAAATTCCAAATTAATTTTATTATTAATGCTTTTTATTTTATTTAATTAAATAACATTTGAAAATAAAAGGCTTTTTCTGAATTAAATTTTATTTAAATTTAAAAGAATTAGCGTATATTTATGGAAAAAATATTGTATTCGTCACACAGGTTAACTTTTTCATATTCATGTGGCAATATCAAAAATTTTTATTGAGTACTTAATTAATATCAACCTCCATCCAGCCAATCCGAACTGAGAATCTGTCTCGTAATCATGGATGTGCGTCATAACGTTAGGCGTTTAGCGTCCATTTTTGGCCGTTTTTGGCGTTTTGCGTGATTTAAAAATTTGAAAAAATGGGCAAAGCTCTGATCGGAATCATTAAAACCGTGATTTCGGTATCTGAAGAATTGTGATTGGAATTCAAAAATGGAAAACGATAAAGGGATATCGTTTTTAGGGAGGGATAACGAGGGAGGATATCGGGATAACGAGGGAGTGATATATTTTTTGAATGAGGGAGGGATATTAATAAAGGACCTTGAGTTGGATTTCAATCCAGTCCATTCTCTCCAAACTGCACCCATTCCATTTACATATTTATCCAACTAACCAAAGGTTGTTGTTATTTCCAACCTCAGTCATTTACATGTTCTTTAGGCTTTCTATTCTTTTATAGCTGACTTTCGTGACAGCAAAAATATTTTTAAAAATAAAACAAAATGGTAAAGATATGGCAAATATAGAAAAAGGGAAGAATAGGGTGAAATGTCACCCTGACATCATCTCAAACCTCAATTCACTGCGCTAAGAAAATGCTTCTTATTCAGAAAATGCATGGTAGTAAGAAGACATTAAAGGTTTAATGAGATTAAATTTAGATAAATAAAAGTGGCATTTTTAAGGCTAGGAAATGTACACATAATAAACTGTGACCGGATTTATATAGGAATAAGGGAAAACAAGACACTAGCAATGAATCAGTCTTATCTGAACTGTGTCAGACTGGAACGTTGTCTGACCGTTGAGATCAAGTAGAAGAAACTGGTTGGGATCAGGGCTAAATTGTGGGATGAGGGGGAAAATGTTGACTAAAGGTGTGGACGTGATATATTGTGAAATTCAGTAGTACCTTTCTCTGTATATAACACATACTATTTAACATGACAGTTTTAATATGGTTACAAAAAATACAATAGATTTATCATAAAATTTTAAAATCTTCAATCAATCAAATCATTCCTTCATTCTGTTCATTAATTGATTTTGAACGGGATAAACAGTTGTAACTGGTTGAACCTTTGTGACTATACTTGAGGTAGGGTATATTGATGGCGTCTTTCTAAAGAACTTTAGAATCCAAGGAAATTCTTTATTCAGAGCATTTCGATATTCCGAGCTGTAATTTTAATAAAATTTTGAATGAAATTAAAATTTGGTTCTTGTTCAAAGTATGCATTCAATCAACCTTTGCAGTACTCAAATGTTTAGACATCTAATAATTTGTTTTTACTCCTGATACTCAGGATACATTCTGAATATTCGAGATACCTTGCGTACTCTCAAAAATTTTGAATAATTTTTTATGTCGGCAGCATCGCTAGTTTCCGGATTATT